TTCATCAATACTTCATCATATTAAAGATTTTATTTTAAATCTAACTTTATAAGTAACTCTTAATTTGTGCAACTAACAAAATATAGTTTTAAATCAACGTTAAGACTAAATTTGTGCAACTAATATTGAAATTTTAAAATTCAAACAAAATATAATATAGTTTTTTATTAAAGTAATATTTCTCTAACATTTAATATCATGTTAGTTATAAGATAAAATAAGACTAAGTATTGACAAATGTAAGTAAAGTTTATATATTTGATGCGTCCTTGCTTGCATGTGTCCACCGGCTTGAGTCCACCAAGCCGTCTGTGTTGCCGAGGTCCCTTGGAACCCTGTGCCTTATTTTTTCGTGATTTTGGATAGAGCAACCGATCTGTGGTTCGCCTCGCTTTTCTTTTATTGCGAATGAGGAGCCGATTTGTGCTTGTCCATTTTGCTTTTGTTCGCCGGCTTTCGGTTGTCCGAACTCATTTTTTTATCTATATATTTACATTTACCTTACCGATCGGAAAAAAAGTTTAAATATTTGTTTAAAAATATATTCCTTTAGCCTTTCATTCCATTTTAATTATTTTTTAAAACGGGAAAAATCAATTGTAGATCAAGTATTAGTAACCATGAAATTTAGTGAATCTTCATTGTTATTACTATATTTTATTTGCATTTTAAAAATCTCAAATTATATAGAATCAAAGTTGACATAAAATATATTAATAACACACATCTAATGTTATAATTCGGTTCTTCGGTTTGGTACGGGATTGGAAAGTTCGGTTCGGTCCTCGGTGCAGATAATTGTGAAATCTTCAGAATCATACCAATTTTTTTTTTTTGGTTCGTTTCGGTTTGGAGAAAGTCAAATGGTCAACAATTATTTTTCGCTTTGTAGTAATTTCGGTTTAGTTTTCGGAACCATTTAGAATTCTTTAGGTCCCATGCTCGTTCCTAACACCAATCATCCACCTATTATGAGAACAGACGACGAACACGAGCGGTCCATGACCTCTCCAAGTATTTCTTCGAGAGATTTAGCCTAGGAAAGGATGGAATTTCAGTTCCATGAACTCTAAATTATTAAATTTTCATATTCCTTAATTCTAAAAGAAATTGTAAAATGATGGTTATTTTTATGAGGGGTGAAAAGAAACATATAATTTATATATTAAACTATTATATATCATAAAAATGAAAGAAAAAGTAAAACTCAATATTAATATTCAAAACTATTTTAATACTAATCAATATTTTTATTGCTTTAATCTATACTATTGCTCCGTAGACCACACATGGTACGTTTAAAAATGTTGGGCATTTACTTAATATGATAAGGCTTTCCCACCAACCCTTGTTTGCTTTGAAGGATTAGGCAGGATATACTGCCTTATCCTGCCTTAATCCCTCGTTTGGTTGGAAGGATGATGGCGCGTTGGTATCCCTTCAGCTCGGGATTGGAACACCTGTAATCCTGGTTTCATCGGATAACTCAACCCCAGCTATTGGACGAGATAACAACAATCCTGGCATTTAATTACCATTTTTGCACCGAACTTTTATTTAACTGATTTATTCAGATGGGTAATAGAGTAATTTAAACCATTATGTTTGATTTTACATTTTTTTCTTTTTTAAACATAAAATTATCATAATCCTTATCATATATAACAAACATAGGATAATATTTATCCAAACAGTACAATACTTCAAAATTACACTATTTTAGTCCAATTCCATCCCAGTAAGCAAACATGGGCCAAAAGAATTATTGATTACTAATTAAAGAAAGCTTTTTAAATATTATTCTTAATATTTTTTTCCCATGTTTTTTTTTTTTTTTT